CTATCCATGGGTAATATAGCATAAGCAGATGATGAAAAAACAATTCAGGTTCTTTTGTCTTATTTGGCCTATGATACCTAATAACTGCTTTGACTTTTCTACGTTTCATGATCTCTTTAGTGTTCATAAGTCTGATTCTTTCAGGCAGTAATGCATCATTTGGTTTATTACTAGATGAGCTATGATTTATTTCAATCAAGTCATCAGTGAGTACTTCTGGCTGTGCATCGATAGTTTCACTGTTTTCTTTTCTGTAATCTTTATAATAATAGGCTGCAAATTGTGCAAGACAGAGGTTTTTTATAATCGGAATTGAGACTGGTCTAATGCTGTAGCGCTCTATGATGTTGGATTTGAAAATATCTGTGCTGTCGTCATCCAATTCATCTAGTTGTTCTTTTGTTTTTGTAATTCGTATGCGTTTTTCTGCTGTATCAGTACTTACAAAGACTGTTGCTGGAAATATTTTTCTTAACCAGAGCTCTGGCATACATCTATATACACATTCTTGTGAACTGACTTCTCTAGTTGACAGAAATGCTGCACCAATTTTCTTTAGTCCATCTCTAATGTTCATGTTTTCAGCTCTTGCTTCTTTCGCTGCACTCATTATTGCCTGTGAACATTCTGTTTCATCTTTTGTGAAATATGAACAAATATAAGTTATGCACTTATAGTGATCAAAGACTGGCTGGAGATCAACATTGGCCTTGAATCCTTTTATCCCAGCAATAAAGTAGTTGTTTATAAAGCAGCTATTAATAGGTCTTCTTAAATGCAACTCATAGTTACTGTCAGGTGAAATTGCTAATGCTGAATAATACTGTTCTTCTGTTATTCCAATAGATGTGAATATGTCTTGCTCGGTTAGTGAGGAATCATAGGTAGATATACTTGGATTTAATACTTCATTTATTTTCTGCTTCACTAATGAAAGGATTTCTTGTCTTCTCTCTAATATATTAGTTTTTACAATCTCATCAATGTCATCAGAAAGAGGTTCCGCTACAATTGTTTTGTTTGTAAAAAACTGTCCAAAGTTAAACCTACACTGAATGTTTTTGTACTTTCTACATGTCTTAGAGTGACTATGTTTTTGGTACATTTTCACCAAGTTATGCAATTCAGTGTCTTCTTCTTCATTTGGTAAATATGCCTGTACATGTTTATCTATGTAGTCTATATATGCTTGTTTGTTCTCATGGTCTAGTTTTGGACAATCATCACACCATATCAGGGCATGTAGATGTGGACTACCTCTCATTTGAAATTCAATACGAAGAGCATAATATACTATTTTCCCAATTGGTTTAGCTTCTGTGAGTAACACTTCAGTGAAGAATGTTTCTACTCTGTATTGAAAATGTTTTGCCACTACAACAGGGTTAAGATTAAGCATTTGGCATCTTTCATTGTAAGATAGGGCGTCAACCTGTTCATCTGTAAGGTTGTTACCTTGTATTCTTGCTAATATTTGAAATAGCTCAGGCCATCGAAGATCTGCGCACGATAGTGTCATAAACCAAGTTGGAATCCCAAGTTGCTTGACCATTGCGATAACTTCATACATAAATTTTTGCCAGTATGGTGGTGTGCCTGGTATTTGCCTTAGAAATAAGTATGCTTGATCCTGGCAAATGAGGTTTGTTAATCTCTGAGGGTTGTCCCTTAATTGAGAAGCAGTAACTGATTGACCATGAATTTTCTTCAGAGCAATGTTTATACTATCAAACACTTTCTTCTGTTCGATGATATATTGTGCAAAAAACAGATATTCCGGATTAGTTGCAAATCTTCCAGTGTAATGAAGAAGCCGCGCATTGAAATACTTAACAGGAGTGATCTGAGTTTTCCTTTCTGTTGTATACCCATATCTGCCTTTAGGAAACAGTACTGGAAATGCAAGCTCTTCACATTGTTTATCAAGCATTAATGATACAGGATGTTTGTTTTCTCCAGGTGCTACATCAAATATTTCACTCCCAGTTGACTGGTTATTGTTATCAGTAGGGTAGCTGGGTATAACAGACTGTAAGCATGTCTCATGTACTGCTGATCTATGCTCATTAAGGGGGTCATCACCTTCTTCATCATCATCAGTCAATTCACTTTCTTTGACTATATTTTCACAAGACAAATTGTCTTCTGTTGTAGTATCATTTTGCTGTGTAGACTGATCACTGCCWGGTGTACTGTTATTTGTTGCTTGTTGATCTGTGTCATCATATTGTAAAGTTAGGAGAGTCTTATCAATATTGTTGACATTAACTACAATGTCTTTGTATAACAGATTGTTTGCTTTTAACCAAGACAGTGCTTCTTGGAGCAACTCAGGTCGTACTGCCTGGAAGTAAACATGTCCTCTAAATTGCAACTTCCTCTTCAGTTTTAACATTATGATACCAGATCTCTCAGGTGCACGAGGCAATTGGTTACATGTCTGATCACATTCAATTGGTACATTACATATTGCACCTTTGATTTTTCTTTGTTGACCTTTAGGCATAATAATTATCTTCTGAAAAACTATACGTTGAGCTATAATTATTTGTTCAAGTTTTTCAAGGGAAGCTAGTTGTGGCGGTATTTCATCTACATTCATGCCATTACATACAGCCTGACATGGTAACTTTCCTTTTATGACTTTTGAGTGACATGTCTTACATATGTACTCTTTCCCATCATATGACTGTTTAGTATTGAAATATGCTTGACAAGAGTACTTGTTCAAATTGCATAGTTTGACTGATTTTTTATATAGTAGTCGATGGCATACATTACATATGAAAAATGGTCCTTCTCTTATTTTAATATTGAATTGTGTAATGCATGATTCAATTGATAAATTTTTGCTCTTGTTATTTTTTCTATGATTTTTTAACAACTCTGCCTTTCTAGCTGAGTCCATTGATTTGTAATTGTCATGGAGCTTAGTTAACATTTCATTTTTTTTAGATAAGTCCATTGATTGATAACTCTGTCGTCTCTTACTTAGTAATTGATTCTTTTTTGYCGAGTCCATCAATTTGTAATTCTTTTGGAACTTCTGTCTATTTTTATGAAGTAATTCTGTCTTCTTTGCATTAGCTATTTCTGAATATCTCATTTGTTTATCTTCTAACAACTTTTTTTTGGCAGCAGGTTCCATTTTGGCGTAATCATATTTCAGTCTGTGTTTTCTCATTATCCTTTTTCTTTCATTTTCATTAATTGTACTAGAACAACTGATAAATTGAATAATATATTCTATTGGAGTTTCTGTGTGTCTATTTGGAATAAATATATCAATTATTGCATCTATTAGTGCATTTATCCCTTTAATATTTTTTGTATGCTTTATTGCAGGTGTTTCGCTGTGCAAATATGACACAAGAGAGAACAGATGTTGACATTGAGAATGTTTTTGATAAATACAAGCTATACAACAACTTAAAGTGGAAAACAGAAATCCAGTAGTTTGCATACTATTATTTAATATCAAAGTCTTTAGAATTTCCTTATAGTCAATTGAATTGGATAATACTTCTTTGCTTTCTTTATTGCATTGTACTTTTATGTTAACACTTTCACAAATATCAACAGAATCTGGTATGTTGTGAGAGAAATAGCATTGTGATGCACTATTTTCAATTGCATTTAAGGTATTTGTTGTCCAATAATTGCAAGGTGAAATGAGTGAGTAACACAATGAATAAAGGGATATTGCAAAAGAACTSTTAACACTGTTTTGTAATTCTGCTGTATTGTTTTTATCAGCTGCTGGATTGCTTGCTATAGCTAAAACAGTATTAGCAATTTTTATGCCTTTCAATTCATATGTTTGTGTTAATCCATATAAACTTTGAAAATACTGCACCAAATTATTTATAGACAATACATGCAATAGTACACAAGTCCCTTGTGAATGACTGTTACCGTATATGTCTCTAGCATGCGAGTCAAATATCTTAAAATGGCCAGTATCAGGACAGTTAATTATGGCAACTCCAATGCATCCAACAATTAAGATGAATGATCTGTACTGTTGTGATATCAATGACTGAAAAGCTCTTTTTAATCCCATACAATATTGATATCCATCAATACTTATATCACCATGTATATTACCAGTGTAGCTTACGCTATAGTCTAGTTGATAATTTTCATCTACTACTGTAAGCATCGTCGGCAATTCTGTTAGCATTAAGAATGATTGTCTTGCTAATTGTGATAAATTACTGTAGAGTTCATTTCCAATGTTCATGATTTGTTTTAAATCATTAGATGTGTCTATTCCTTTTCGTTCATTATATATCAATGCACAAAGACTCATTGCAACACATTGTTGTCCAGCATTTTCCCTGAACACCATAATGTTTCCTTGACTGTATGGGGCCCGAATAGTTTGACCAGGGTCAACATAGTACACAGCAGGACCTGGGTTTTTCTCTATGTCATTGCAAAGTTTATACTTGGTACAATTCCCTCTGTGACTTACTCCTTTAAACTYATTATGTAACAAATTACATGAAAGCAGGTTTAACAATTTCTGATATTCCTTCCTTTTTTTATTTAAATACATGGTTTTGTGTCCATATTTTCTAGCAAATGGTCCAGGTTTCTTTYTCATTTTGTGAACGAACGTAAGGTATCTTCTGTGAGTAAACTTCTTTTTTCCTTTGAGTTCAGTACGTATGCTAATACTCGAAATAATACGATGAACCTGTGAAGACTTAGGTATGGTTTTCAGCACACGACTTGATATATATCTCTGTAAATTTCTGGTCTTATGAGAGAGACGACGTAACTTATTGATTGGTTTTCTGCTCGGTTCTCTGTCGCGCTTATTTCCATGGCATTTGCAGACCACACGAGCACAATTATAATATGTATATTTTGAATAACGTGATCTAAAGTTCTGTACTTTTATTGATACAGCAACATCATTAAAATTGTTTACATTACAGAAAGCAGGTTTATCTAAAATATCACAATTAGCAAATGAAGAAGTGATAATAGTTTGAGTGTAGTAATCGAGCCCTAATAAAGTAAATATTAATACTATGAAAAGACTAAAGCAAAAGATATTTCCTTTAATGAAAAATAATAAAAAAAGCAATGTACTTAGCATTGATAATGTGGAATAAGTAGTCATGTTTGAGGAGCCGTTCTCACTTTTAGAGTCGCATTCTTTGCTGTAAACACA